GCCAATAATTGTGGAACACATAGATAAAAAAAAAAAAAAAAAAATATGCTTCAGTTATTTTAATAATTAGATTTCTGTGAATATTTTCAATGAAAGACCAAAATATTTTTTCCATGGCCTGTTTTGCTCATATTTATCAAGGCTGCCAATATCTGTTGACGGCACTGTATACGTTGCTATTATACCAGCCACTGAAAAGCCTGAATGTTATCTACAGTACATTCTAGAAAACTCTCTAGTGGTTGATAATGTGGATGTCCACTCACAGGAAGCTCTTTGGCCAGTTTGATGACCATGTTTTCCAGATAGTCTGCCAGACTCTTGAACTGCTGGTTGGTGGGCTGGAAGAAGTGAGGACTCCTTCTGGAGAGCAATCGCAAGGCTCGCCAGCCGTAGTTTGAGTTATGCACAACTCTGAGGAATGACGACAAAGAATTCATTTATTCTGATCTATTGTGATGCATAGTTTGATCATTTAGGAGACTGAATTAGTAAATCTCAGTACTTGTACTCATCCTCCACCATGTTAGTTGGATCTGCCTGCTCGATAGCTTCTACAAAAAATTCCTCCAGTGATGGCATGAACTCCCTTTAATCGAGACATGTATTAATGCAACATTTCTCGCATAAAGCATCTGTGAGCAAGCGTTTGCCAAACACAAACCTGCTATCTGACTTGCAGGCCTCCATGTTGTCAGGGTTTAGATTCCAGAGCCTCGTGAGTTCCTCACTGTTGATGGTCAAGAACAGCAGAAATGCAAGATAAGATCTGAATCGAAGACTTCACCTCTGTTACACAGCAATCAATTACTATCTTACTTTCCCATGAGGATTTTGCGATCTGGGCCCTTCCCCAAAAAGTCCTCTGGTGCTTGTCTCTTTCTGCTGGGACGGACGGGTTTGGTCTCTGCTGGCCTGAGAGAAACAACTCTATTCACATTTCCATTCAGAACTAAAAAATAAAGAGCAGAGACCACACCTGCAAACTAAAGAAGTCAACAGAACGACAAGGAGTGAAAATGTTAGCAATCAATTTAGACACAATTTGCTGATTTTTCAGAGTTAAATCTTTTTCTGTTTATAAGGTTATGGATACTTAAGTAAAGTGACGCCCACTTTTACTGTTTTGATGTGCCATCATGTCATTAAAGTGACATTTTTCATTTTTGTCTTTGATTATTACAGATTTTGGGACCCCAGCACATGTTTCTTCACTGGTGTGGTTCTGATCCAGCAAATGACCTACAGATCAGCT